AATAGTTAGGACAATAGGGTTTAGAGTTTCGGGAAAGTTCATAGTAAGATGTAATACAGTATATATATATACACACATACATACATACATACATACATACATACATACATACATACATACATACACATAATACAAGCAGTATCAGAGAGCCGCACATGCCGGGCCGGTCGTCTCCCGGGCCTCGAACACTGGGCTTGGGGAGTTACGGGATCTGAGTTGGGTTTGGAGTTCAGGGCTTAGGGTTTATAGGGTTTATAGGGTTTATAGGGTTTATAGGGTTTAGGGTTTAGGGGGCTTTTTAGGGCTTGGGGTTTCAGGGCTCAAGTTCTGGGATTCAAGGCTCATTTGGGCTCATCGAAGGACGGATCTGAGTTGGGTTTAGGAGTGTCGGGTTCAGGGTTCAGGGTTTACGCTTTCGGGTGTAGGGTTTGGGGAGTTGTGGGATCTGAGTTGGGGGATCTGAGTTGGGGCAGCGTCACACTGCAAGGAAAGACCAGACAAAGACTCTGGCCCGAAACACTCAGGTGCCGAGGGGACAAGCGCTTTCCACGTTTAGGAGCACGCTGTGCGAGCTTAGTCTCTAGAGTTCCCGAAACCCAGAGTCCTAGACCCTAAACCCTGAACCCATAAGCCCTGAACCCTAAACCCTGAACCCTAAACCCTGAACCTGAAGACCTAAAGACACAAAGAAAACGAAGGCTGCAGTTCATGAACGCCTTGAACTCAATGAGCCGCTCTCACACCCCCGGAGCCAAAAAGTCTCCGAAAACAAACCCCCTTCCTCAACAGAAAGGGTTCAGGGTTTAGGGCTTTAGGGGGTTTATGCAGGATGTCTGCAGGCCATTGGTTCAGGGGTTCAGGGGTTTCTTTTGCAGCTCTTGGGTTTATCCTAAACCCTAAACCCTTAACCTCCAAACCCTAAACCCCTAACCCCTACACCCTGAACCCTAAACACCTGAACCCTAAACACCAAACCCTAAACCTCCAAACCCCAAACCCTAAACCCCCAAACCCCTAACCCCCAATCCCTTTCATGGGTAGTTATAAGATCCATATTAGGGGACTTATAACCCCACTTACAACGACCCATGAACCTCCAAGTTGGGGTTTCGACCTGAGGACCTTGGAGACCCCCGAGGCCGCAGGGAGCAGCTGGGAGTCCCGCGGGGCCCTCCTCTTTGATTCATGTACCTGTAGGGCTTAGGGGGTTTAAGTAGGGTTTAGAGGTTTAGGGTTTTGGGTGTTGGGTTTAGGGTTTAAGTAGGGTTGAGGGTTTAGGGTTTTGGGTGTTGGGTTTAGGGTTTTAAGTAGGGTTTAGGGGTTAATTAGGGTTTAGGGCTGTAGGGTTGTAGGGTTTTAAGTAGAGGGCTTAGGGTTAACGATTTAAGGCTTGGGATCTGCATTGGTGCTTGCAGTATGAGTGGCTGTAGTGCTGTAGGGCTGCAGGCAGGGCCCCAGCAAGGCAGTGCCCAAACTAGAATGGGTTTAGGGTTTAGAGTTTAGGGTTTAGGGTTTAGGTCTAGGCTTTCCATCCCCAAAAAATGGCCCCCAGCCCGGCTCCTGATGTGAGAACTGTTGCGTCACGAGGCCTGCAACCGAACCCTCGAGGTTCCTTGCCGAAGCTGTCTTCGACTCGGTTCCGGGGTTTGGGGGGTTTGAGGCTGCTTTAAAGTGGGTTTGGGGCTTGGGGTTTAGTGCTCGTGCGTTTACCGCTAGGTGCCCGACTTGAACACAGCTTCCTCGACATTCCAGCTGTGCCTCTCTAGCCAGTCCTGCGCCGAGCATCGATCGGGATAGGGAACAGCGACAATGTCATGCTGTCATGCTCTTCCTACACTCAATCTGTAGAGTGTCTGGCGTGCGCGGATTTGAAAAATCTTTGAATAGCCAGGTGGAATCAGTCGAGGTTCAACCGGGTAGTAGTCCGAGGTCGGAATCGGTTTTGGAGCGGACCTTGTCATTCAGCTCAAAGCCCCCAAAAAGCAAGGGCCTAGCCCACCTCAGCAAAAGCTTGCAATGATGTCGCTTCCCTGTGCCCTGCCTCCCATTCGTCCGAAAGACCCGTGAGCGACCATCTGGAGAACATGCCCGGACTGTCGCATCAGAAGCCTCAGAAGCCTCAGCCCGCCCCCGGAAGCCTATAAGAATCCCCTGCAGTCCGTCCTGCGCGGTCAACCTGCTCTCGTTGGTCATGTTCATGAAGAGCTGTACCTCGACAGAGGATGGGTCATACCAGTCTCCCGAACAGTCCTGGGCTTCAAGGCTTCCGCGGTGCTTTCCTTGGGAGAGGGGAAGAGACGATATGCCCGGAACCGGGCCCGGCCACTCCCCGAGTCCAAACCGAAAGACCCAACCCTACAGCTGGACAGCTGGACACAGAATCCTCTTCTTGATGATACTGAAAGTTCGTGCTTGCTACAATTCGATAGCTTGCACATCGGAATCTCTCGGCTGCAAGGGTACCCAGGTCCCCTTCGCTAAATCGGGCTGGCGACCTTCGTGCATCTAGGATCCATCTTGGCTTGGAGCCCCAGATCTGGACCCAGAAGAAGCTAAGGGGAAGTCACGCTTCAGGGTGCAATGCACTTACAAAATCACATCACCAGCAGGACAGCAGCCCCAACCCCCTACATTCCTACATCGCAGAGCACCATCGCCGCGACGTCGGCCTCGGATTGAGGCAGTCGTCCTTGGCAGGGTCCAGCAGACGGCCGGGCAGAAAGGATCGGCATCAGCTTCCACATGAATGTGCCGGGCCTAAAGCCTACTAGACCTGAAAGCCTTCGATCAACTCTAGAAATAACACAAGAAAGTTCAACCGACAAAATCCCAACCAAACCCCGACGGGCACTACTTTCTCTCCACGGCCTGACAGCCATCCTTGAGTAGCGTCGGGGAATGGCAAAAGCAGCGTCTGAGCTTGATGCATACTTCGACACCAACCCCGATTGGAGACGCTGCGCCATATCAGCACTAAAGAGAGTCCCCTTGTCGCACCTCTTCCAAAGCTTGCTCGCGGGCACGAAGTCTGTCCTTGCACTGCCTTTTGCGGTGTCCAGCTTCCATCCGGAGGCGTTGCGCTTCCGGTGAATCCTTAAGACTCCATGGGCCACCTTGCATCACGCGGTCACGGGTGTCGTTGCCGTACTGCTTCGTAAGTCCATCCGATGGCATCGTGAGCCCTGGAACCCATCTGACCCAACGGTTTGAGTCCGGCTCGTACAAGGACTCCTTCAGGATGGCGATGTCAATGGCGAGGCGCTTGTCCTCGCCGTTGCTGATGCTGTTCAACACATCGTAGCCTGTTCGCGAATCCAACACTAGGATTTGCGGCCACATACTTGAACTCCATCGCCACTGAGGGAGCGAAAAGGCCGCGTCCCAAATCTCGGCAAACATCGCCCGCACATACTCACACTGGTCCATGGTCTCCGCTGCTTGGCTGATCTCCGCAGCCAAGCTTGACCGCACCACTCTTTTCAAGACGGCGCTGTGGTAGAGGACACAGTTCACGAGCGAGGGGCCTTCAAGGATCTCGTTATTAGCGAGCAAGATCATCATCCCTCCTTGAGATCTCCCTTTGGGCATACTCCCATGTGAAGCATCGCTCACCGCCAAGAACACAAGGTCCTCAATCTTCCCGGGCACCTGCTGGAAGATCATCTCGTAGGGCTCCCGGGCCTTGGTCACCAGCTGGTTCAAGGAAGCAATTGTCGTGGGGTCCTTGGCACCGGCCAGCTGTTGAACTCTGGAAATACCAAAGGCAAGGTCGGCTCTTCCTTGCCTTGCCATCCATAGCAGCTGACCCCCCACTGAGGACACCCATTTGCGTTCAACCTCGGTGAGCGGGGATCTATCGTCCTTGGGACGATTGGGGGCTTCCTTCAGCTTGGGCACATATCCAGACATCGTCACGATGATCTGGAAGGTCTCCGGGCACTGCTTTTCCCACCGTCCACAGAACTTCACCGTCTCCTGGGTGGCTTCCTTCCAATCTCCAAAACGGAAAACTCCCTGGAGCTTGTCGAGGATCTTCTCTTCATCCGGATGAAAGGCGATCCGGAGGTCGTCCACGTGAATCGATAACACTCCTCGAAGAGCTCCTCCAACATGGAAAACAAAGGTGCCCGGGGACAACTTCAGCTCTCGCAACCCAATCTCGTGTAGGCCCCGCTTCAAACGGAGGTACCATAGCCTCGGCGATTCGGACAGTCCAAAACCTCCCTTCGTGAGGCGCACCAGGTCCAACCTGATGCTTCCTCGGGCCTTGGCCTTGAGTCTTTCTCCCAGATGTTCACGTACTTCATCTGGATAACCACGAGGTAGCTTGACGAATACCACCCGATCTTCGTCTAGGTACTCTCCTTGAAGGAAGGCGGCCGAGATGTCCGCATACCTCATCTTCCACCTCATCTGCGCACTCAGGAAGCAAACAATATTGTGCGCCACCAAACTCGCGGTAGGGGCCTCCGTAGCATGTTGGCCCGCCTCCTTATCCAGGTGCCCGGCCAACACCCATCTGGCTTTCAAGCAGGCCTCCTCCAAAGATTCCTTGTCGCTCTTGTTAGTCAAGACAAACCGCGAAGGCAAGATTTTCTCTGGGGGCACAGGAGGGCCAAGAGGAACAGGCTCCAGGGCATCATTGTCCACATAGACATCCACTGCCTTCTTGAGCGGTTCCACAAAGGCCCGCTTCCATTCATCTGAAAGCGCGCCCCACTTATATTCCAGCCTCGGCTTCCCGGTGACCGGCATGTCAATCTTCACTGCGGTTTCTGGAGCTGCGGCCGAAAAGTTCGCGACCTCTTTGGCCACTTCGTGCGTCACGCTCTCGACCTTGGCCACATAGACCGTCCATCCATGTTGCTTCGCTTCTCGCAACATCTTTCGCTGGCCGCGCACGGCACCGTCCAAGCGCCACATTCGTTGAACATGTAGTACTCCAGCTCCCCGGTGACTGGCGTGAGCCGGCGGTGCGGGAGAAGGGGCAGCACTTGAGGATGCCGCTCCTGCTGCTGACATTCTGGCTCGTTCCTGAGGCTCCTGAGGTGCAAGCACCGCGCGCATGCGGCTTAGGTGCTCTTCGGTCGCTCGGACTCCTTCATCAAAACGCACCTTCTTGCGGGGCTGCAAGGGAGTGCCAAACGACGCTCGCCTGTCTCGGTGAAGCTGGGCAGGAACATCATCCAACACTGAGGCTACTGGCTGCTCCACCCGGGGTTCCTCATCTCCACTGAACTCAAAGATGTCCGGCAACTCCTCGGGGTCCCGGGGGCCATCATCCAGCATCTCGTCGACGTCGGGGCGGCCGCCCTCTAGCTCCTTTTCCACCTCCTTGAGGGCATCCTGGCAAACCTTGGTCGCCTCAACCTCTTCCAAAGCTGCCAGCCGGATGTACTCCAAGGGAACACCCTTTAATTTTGTGCGGTAACGCACCCAAACTCTCCGGATGTTTCCTTCTCGCCTCTCGATGGCTGCCACAACCGCAGGGCCCATCCATGAGATCTGGTCCTGCAACCGTCTTGGCAGCCCCTTTCTGGAGGAGGGCGGCTCGTAGAAGTATACTTGTGCCCCTTCATACAGCATCTCCATTCGAGGGTGTCTGGACTTTGCATTGAGGGCCTTGCGCAGCGTCTCGTGGCCATTCATCCAGACGAAGGCGTGCTCGGCGGCCTGGCGAATCTGCTCATTTCGTCGCCTCGCCTCGTCGAAAACCAAGTCCTGGTTGAGCACATACCTGAAGTGGCCCCTTTCAATCTGCTCCAGCAACGAAGAGGACACTGTCACATCCTTGCCCAGAACAATCTGCACTGGTGAGAACCCGGAGATCCTCATCTGGCGGTTCCTGGCCGCCGTTGCTGCCACAACACACTCCTTTGTCTCACTGTGGCCTCGAGCGGTAGTGGCATGTATAGTCTTCATCACCAGCAACTTCAAGACCGCCCCATGTCTCTCGGCCAGCCCCATTCGCCACTTGGTGCCAGGAGGCACCACTTCATGATAAACATCATATGCTCGGAGCAGTGATTCAGTCGCCGCCGCATACTCTGAACCAGCGTCGCTCATCAACACCTCGGGCGGGCCAAACACTGCCAACCAATAGTTCTTCAGGAAGTGGGCCACGAGGTCCGCGCGGGCGGTGGGCATCAAGGTGGCCACCTGGTACAAGGCGAAGGCATCCAATGCATGTACCACCGCATACTTAGTGTTGTTGGCATCCCACACATAAAACACATCTGTCACCACTCTCTGATTGAAGCGTTGAGGTCGCTCATAGGATACTCGCGGGGGCGGTTTCGGGGCTGTGACTTTCTGACATACTTGGCATCGTAAATCTCCTGCGGCATCCAAGAGGTGCTGCTTTGCTCCGTTCAAATGCAGCATGCGCTTCAGCTTGTCGTTGGTGACGTGGCCCAACACTACATGTAGTTTGGCCAAAGTAGATCTCACTTGGCGAGAGAGAGCACCACTCGCGCCCTCAAAGTAGATGTAATCATACTGATCTCCCGTGGCCTCGCCCAGTTGCTGTCGTAGTTGGCCTTCCGGTGAGGGCTCCACTTCCACGGGAACTGCTTCCCACTCGGCACCGTCAGCGCACTCTTGATGCCACACGCAGTGAGTTGGAGGCCCTTTTCTCAGCTCCAAAGTCTCTTGGCTCGAGTCCAAGACCTTCTGGGCCCAAGGCGATGGCCATTGCTGGGCGCGAACGGCCCTGCTGACAGAATTCCCGGCCTCGTCCTTAGTGCATCCAGAGACTTCTTGATGGGCTCCGGGACCATGCTGGCACAAGCTTCCACCTGCCAGCTGCGAACACCACCAAGGATCGTTTACTTCAACTCGGCAAGCTCTCTTGTAGGGCTTCTGGGTCGAGGGATCCACAGCTCCCCATTGACACAAATCCACTCGAGTGGCATAACATGGCGTTCGCTCCCCGCCTTCCTCCTTCACCGTCACCTTCTCGGCCGAGGGGTGCTTGTCGAAGTAGATGTGGCGCAGTTGCCTCATCTCGTCGGGTCCCGGCGGCATCATCCTCGCCGGAACCTGTAGCAAAACTAGGCGTCCATGAGCCTGCTGATAGTGCCACATCTCTTCGATCATGTTCCACATGGGCCAATATCGGGCCTTAAGGTCATCCTTCATCTTCTCCTTTTCTTGCAACCAGGATGACCAGGGGCCTCGGGGAGGACCAATGATCAAAACATTGGGCCGCACTTGACGAAGTTGCTCCATCATCTTGCTACAGTCCTTGAAGGAGGGCGGGGCGATATGATCCCATAGAGGTCCTTCCACCTTCCATCGACGTTCTTCACCTGGTCGATGCCATGGTGTTCCCGAGTGGAAGACCTCCATCATCACCAAACCATACTGCCATGAAGCCGCCAAAGCCAGCCAGCCAGCCATCTCAAGTTGCGAAGGCCGAGGGAGGTGCCTCGGCGGAGCTTTTGAGTCAATCCTCTCGATGGCTTGCTCGGGCCGGGCGATCTCCCAGCATCAGGTGCGCGATCTTCGGGTCGTTGCAAAGCTGCCTGGCCGACCCCAGATGACCCCACATCGCTCCTAGTTGCTTGCCCAACAGTAGCATCAGCCAACGAGGGTTCCGGCGCCATCGAGCTTCGGGCCCGAACTCGTTCCGGATCGCTTTCTTTACCCTCAGCATCCACACAAACGTCTTCCACTTGAAGGCAAAGAGCTGCTTCTGCAGGCTGAGCATCAAGTTGATCACCACATCGTCCGAAAACTTGTTGGACAGGGAGGGGAACGGGGCCACGTGATCCGTTAAGGCGTGCACTTTCATTGCGCCCTTCCCCTTGGCTGCTCTCGTCTTGGTGATCTTCTCCTCCTCGGGGGGTTCGGTAGATGCCCTCCCCCTGGTCTCCACTCGCGTCGCTTCTAGCATCTCGGAAGCTTTCGGGTCCACTCTCACCATGGCCCGACTGGGGCTCTCTCGGCGAGTGGCTCGCTTCGGCATCGTTGGAGTGGGTGAGTCGTCTTCGCCACTCGAGCTCACCTTGACCAGCCCCTTCTCCTCCAGCTCCTCGGTCTCCATCGGCTCGCGCTGGCAATTCTCCCACTCCTCCTCCAGATCCGTCACTCTCTGCACCCAATACGCCTTTGTCTTCTTGGAGCCGGGCGTATCGATGCTGGTGGGGTCCATGTGGTTCCACAAACGTGTCTCGAGTTCCGCCGCCTGGGCCTTCAAACGGTCCACTGTCCAGGCTTCCATCCTTGCCGGGGTGCTCGGGGCAGACGCCCTCGACGATCTCGACGGTGGGGCTCCTCTCGGCGTGGGCACCGCTTTGCTGTTGAGCCCCTTGTCGGCCTTTTTCACACGCACCTGTCTCTCTGACGACTTTGATCGAGCCTTGTCCGCGGACTTGGACCGAGCTGCTCGACGATCTCTGGCCAGAGAGGCCCTCAAGGATCCTGGTTTGGCCCGAACCGGGGAATCCTTCTCCTTCTCGGGCTCGATGCGACTCCAGTCGGAGAAACTCTCGTGAAGCGCCTGGCTGAAGGCCTCGTCTCCTGACCCGTCCGTGTTCAGGCGATGGTGCTCGGCGGTCCTGGCGGGGGCCTCCCCCGATTTCCCCTTGCGGGAGTGCAGAACCATGGGGCTCCGCAAGCGAATTGTGAAAAGCTTCAGCTCGCATTGAGCTTTCTGCTACATCCACTCCCGAGCCAGGCACCCGGAACATAAAAATCGTCGTGGTGTCACACGTACCGGACAAACTCCTGCGAATACGAGTCTGGGCACATACTTCTTCATCCAGAATCTTGTTGCCGCTGCTTGTTTCGAAGACAATCCGACGAACGACCAATTCCCAAGGGGGGCCATTCCGACCAGGACCAACTGTATTATTCACCTGCTTATCTTGACGAGTCCAGGACCTCAATGTACCGGTAGACAAAGTGGTAGACGACGTCGACGGGCCTCTGGACTCGGGGCTCACGGTTTGGTCTGCTTCAGCAACGTACACAGGTACTGCTTCAAGATGCACAGGTACTGGAGGATCAAATACATGAGGAGTCTCCTTGCAAAACTCTGCAATCGGGAGTGCATAGTGACCACCATACGTCTGCTTCAGACCATACTTCGAACCTTGAGTTTGCGAGACGAAACCGTGTGGAACTCGGTATCTATAACCATACTCAACTGTGAACATGCTGGCTTCGACAATAAGGGTGGGCACTCTCCGGGGACGACGGATAAGCGAATAATCACTTGCACCCCCATCAACGTGGCCTCAAACATGAACGAATACGAGCTGCGCAACTCATGCCCATCACCAAACCTGAAGCTCTCGTTCTCGGGAACCGCCTTCATCCACCTGCCCAACTCCTTTAGTCGTTGAATGTGCTGATTCACCCACTTGGTACCCGCCACCGACTTCATGCAACCCAAATCAAGAATCAAACTGCTGCTCAACTCTCGCATAGACCAGAAAATCTCATGATCCATGAGGCTGCTCTCGATGGTACTGGTAACACAACACACATGCTCTGAAGAAACCCTTGGCACATCCGCTGTGTATTCCGCAATGGCTTCGAGAAGGCTCCACTGGTCCGGGTCCGTGCGCATGGGGCCCGCTGTGACATGAACCGGGTGGGACTTGCTGCCACCCTTTTTCCGCAAAGGGCATTCTTGCGACCAATGCCCCAGCTTCTGACACAAAAAACAAGGTTCCCGCTTCTGCTGCTCCTTGACCCAAGCTTGAGTTCGCTCCTGATTGGAGCCCTTCTGGAAGTACTGCCGCATCTTCTTCGGCTCGTTGACTTTGCGCCTGGCCTTGTACTCTTGAGCGAAAACTTCAGCCGGAGCCGCATGTCCTTCGGAAGGATCCTCGCGGCTCGATGGTGACTCTTCCTCGTCACCATCTTCCAACAGGCCCGTGGGGCCCTCTGATTCCTCGCTCAAGGATCCCGAAGAAGAAGAGGAACCATCACTTTCTTCACGAAGCATAGCATGAAAAACCTGTTTCCACTTCTTGAACCTCCCAGTGCGCTTGTCCTTGTGCGAGCGGGAGCGATCATGCCGATGAGGTCGCGGCTCCCATCGTCCACGGCCAGGGCGTTCTCGCTCCGGCTTATCCTGTCTTCTTTTCTGAACCAGATACTCATCCTCATCCGGCATATCAGGTTCTCCCCTTCCAATTGCAAAGCCCGGCATGCCTTCCAACTGGTCCGCGAGCTCCAGCAAGGCGTTAACGACCTTCGTCTCATCATTGAGACCGCCAGCCGCCGTCTTCACCAGGGCCTCATCCTTTCTGGTCAGCTTCGCCGCGTCCAACAAGTGACCCAGGTAAAACTTGGAGCCAACCTTGTAGTTCTGGCACTGGTCATTCTCGTGGCGATAGATCGAGGCCCTATTGATAAAGCTCTCCAATGACTCGCCTGGCAGACGAGCCAAACGCATGAACTTTTGCCTTTTGCGATCCACCTCCTTGTGCTCCAGCAGCCGAATGATGGGCGACTTCTCCATCTCGCGCTTTATAATGTTCACACCGTCGTCGCAGGCCACGTCCTCGACCGCCAGGTGGTTCACAATCTTCGCCGCTCTCTCCTTCAACTGTTGCATGAGCCTGGAACTGCGAACTGCAGGTGGAAGGTTCACGCCCTCCGACGCCAGCCAGAACTCAACGGCACGCCAATAGTCCTTCCAGCTTTCACCTGGTCGTGCCCGGAACTCAGGAGGAAAAGAGCTGTGCAACTTCAAATAACTGGAACCTCCTTCACCCCGACGGCTGCCCTTGTCGTCTGAGACATTGACCCCAGGTGCTTCATGTGACCCTCCACCATCACGAGATGCTCCCTGAACCATCTGACGACCATCACCCTTGAGCACGGCACCACTACTAAGGCCCTGTGGATCTTGGGGATGATCAGGTACAGGATGCTGACGATCTTGCCTGGGATATACTGCCGAACGATGATCTTGGGGATGATCAGGTACAGGATGCTGACGATCTTGCCTCGGATATACTGTAGGATCGCGATCTTGGGGATGATCAGGTACAGGATGCGTACGATCTTGCCTGGGATATTCCTTACAACGGAGATCTTGGGGATGATCAGGTACAGGATGCTGATGATCTTGCCTAGGATATACTGTCTGGTCACCACAAAGCGCGGCATCAGGAACTTGGGGATGATCGGGTACAGGATGCTGAGGATCTTGCTGGACCCTTGGTTCATGGCTCCTGTCTCCCTCATCCCATTGGGCTCGTAAGGAACGGCGTCTGTCTGGAGGCTTGGGACTTCGAATGTAGCTGTCATCCAGGAGGCGTGGCAAAGGAACTTCCGCGCCTTCCGGTGTCTGCTCCAGACCTGCGTCACTCGAATCATGCTCCCAAGCCCAGTTACTGTAACGACGTTCCCTCCAACCCGGTTGCTGAGAGTCCAAATAGGAGGACCACGGATCATCCCGTCCTCCTTCGTCCCATGCGTGCCCAGACCATTCCCACGACGAAGCCTCCGAGGCCCAGTCGTGACGATTCCACTCATCAAACTCCGATCTCGGTCGCACAGGTGTGGCCGCCTCACCACGAAGCCGCAGTGACCCATTCACTGACGGCGTCCACGGTCGCCCTCCTCCCTCACGGAGGATCGTTCTTTCAGAGCTCGACGGCCCTTCTCCAGACTCCCAGCGCTGGCTGCCAGCCGAAGAGAGAGAATCCATTGCAACGGCTCAAGGAACCAGGTTTCCTAAACCAACACTCAAGAACCGATCCCTCGACCGAGATCAGACCCACACCAACCCAAAGGATTAAACAACCGCAGCCGGAGCCCCTGTTCGGAGCTCCGCTACCACAAGAAAGTTCAACCGACAAAATCCCAACCAAACCCCGACGGGCACTACTTTCTCTCCACGGCCTGACAGCCATCCTTGAGTAGCGTCGGGGAATGGCAAAAGCAGCGTCTGAGCTTGATGCATACTTCGACAATAACCCCAGACCAATCAGAAGTTCTTCTTGTGACGGAAACCGAACCACGATCACCCCCCAACGAGTCCGCTTCCGCTTTCAGCAACCTCTGAGGGCAAAGCCAGCGACGGGGGAGCTCGGACTGGAGTGTGGACCTGCAGTAATATAGGAACCTGGTTAATAAACCCTACTAATAAAGTGAACCCTAATATATTGGGTTTATAGGGCCAGGGCTTCTTAATCAGGTTCCTACATTAGAGGGTGTAGGCAGCGTGTGTTTGTGGAGAAGAGGCCACACGTCATGCATCTTCATCTTCTCATCGCAAGGCTGTAGTGGGTCGTTGAGCCTCTGAAGCGTGTCTCCATGCCGTGGCTCCACACAGTTTAGGGTTCAGGGCTGGTGATGTGCATGTGTTACCTTGCTGAATGAGCCAGCATTATCGCCTTTGCGCTTTTCAGCGCCGCTTTAGAGCTTCAATAAGAGCGGGTTGGCGGAAAGCGGGTTAGGTTGTGGAACTGTCTCACAGTCTAACACAGGTCGGAGTCTTGAAGCATTCACGCGACGATGCTTTGCATGATCTCCCATGATTCCGGGTCTGGAAGCATCGGAGCTCATGCAAAGCTTCCAGTGTGTCTTACGCGTTATTTCGGAAGCCTGGATTTGCTGCAGACTATCCAGCTGACTTTGCACTGCACCACTGCCACCGTTACATTGATCAGAACCCCAGGTCACAACGGATCCATTGCTGAGGACGGCAGCAAAAGCCATGTTCGAGGCTTGGATCTGCTGGGCGTTGCTCAGCTGATTTTGCACGGCACCGCTATCACAACCATAGATATCACGGCCCCAGGTCACGACAGAACCGCTTTCAAGAAAAGCTGCAAACTCAGCCGTTCGTGGCTTGGATTTGGCATCTGTCTGCAGCCGATCCGGCAAAGCACTGGCAGAACCAGTTTCATCGTCACTGCAGGTCACGGTAGAGCCATCGGAGTAGAGCCATCGGAGGGAATGGGTGGCGAGCGCGTGGTCAGAGGCTTGGATCTGCTGCACCTTCTTCAGCTGATCCTGTACAGCACTGCTGTCAGCACTGCGGAAGCTACCACACCCAGGTCACGACAGATCCGTCTCGAAGAATAGCAGCTAAAGTGCCGTGTGTGGCTTGGATTTGCCTCACGTTCTTCAGCCGATCCTGCACCTCACTGCCGCTCCACCGCGACAAAGCCGTGCCCCGGGTCATGATGCACGGCTGGCACCACCAAAATCATCAGGATGCCACGTAATCACAGAACCATCGCCAAGACTAGCTGCAAAGGCAGGAGTAGTCTGCATAGTCTTGCCATGCGTGAGCTTTCTTGATGTGCAAGGTCAAGGAATCACCATTTTGCAGCCTTGCCCTATACCTGAAACCTGTGATACCCCGGATAATGTCCTTTGAAGGAACCCTCGGATAATACCCTTGGAAGGAACCCTACAGTACAATACCCCTTATAATACCCTCTGGAGGAACCCTATAGTAGGTCTAAACGGACCTTCCCATCTGAAACCTTGCGAGCGTAACAGAGCTCAGCATCGCCAGGTGCCCTCGCTCTCCTCTGGCTGTTTCCGCCGCCACGGCCGCCGCGCCTCGCACAGGAAAGGGGCATCCCCTTACATCATAATAGACTTGACTCTACTATTAAATGATAATAGTAGTTAAACGGCATACCGTTAAGTCCTGTTCTATTCATCATGGCCCCTGTAGTATGATGTCTAGCTCTTTAAGCTTACGGTCTGGGCGTGGGGTGACTGGTAGAGAAGACTCTGGCCACTCTAGCTTGTTGCAGCGACGGCAGCGGTTATCTGCGGAATGCTGAGACTTGTGCGCTTTACTGCGTGTCTCACACGACAGACTCCCACCTGACGAAAAACTGCAATGTAGGCGGCAGCACCTAAAGTTGTGATGCGGAGACCTGTGAATATCGCTAGGTGGAGGCCTGCGTCCAGTAGTGGAAAACCCATGAATGGAAGCAGCTTGGTAGCGAGACAATAAACGGATGACATCGTAGAAATACATGCCCCTCATCGCCCCGATCTTCTTCTCTACAGAAACTCTGGAAACCCTGGGTCGAAACACCACGCAGCTACATGCCAAGCCCCTACGCTGCAACACTCGAAGCTTGCAACCCTCGGACACATGTCCAAAAAAAACATCAACCCAGATAGATCCGAAACCAAAAGCGAGACATCGGAGCCCACCCGGTCGAAAGGTGACTTGAAGGCGCTGGAACCACCGGCCTTCCCAGAGGTTCAGGAGTGTCTTTTCAGGATCTAACTACACAGAGGCTCACGAGGCTTCCACAAACTAGAATCCTCAAGGCATAACAAGGCTTGTGCACTCCTATGGAAGTGGCGGCTGCAAAGGCAGCTGCCAGCGGGAGGAGGAGAGGAGCTTTTGCGTTGCCATGATGGGTGCAGGTATTGCTTCTGGCTTGGCCTTAGGTCATAACTTCAAACTTCGAGCATAACAAGAAGTATCGGATCTCTGATCTCGGAGATCCAAAGCCACATGCAACTGCCGAGACAAAGCCTGTAAGATGTTAGGGTGTAGGGTTTAGGGTTGAGTGCACCACGGTCCTGCTTGTTGTCAACGCTCCCCGGTGCGCCCACGGACGTCATCTTCTGCGAGAGCTTCTGTGCCTTCTCCTTTTCCTGATGAGGCTTTGCCGGGCACATCAAGGTTTCGGATGTTCGGTTCTGAAGAGATAAGTCTGTACTTTCGCTCAGTGTGCAGGGGCGTCCTAGGGCTGTTGACAAACCATTGCGGAGATGACTAAATTCGAGTCGCCTGGGCCAGCAAGCACATGTTTCACACCCCTTTGAAGAGGGAAAATCACAAACGGAACAAACGGAAGAAGCTCCATGCCACGATAAAGTCCTGGGTTTAGAGTTCGGGATTAGCTTCGCTGGCTCAAGTCCCGGCAAAACAAGGCCTCCTGCAGGTACTCCTCATCTGTCAGCATCTCTAAGATGGCTGCCGCCTGACGTCAAGGGCCGACAAACGATGGCAGAACTCTAGCAGAGTCTAGCATGCTCCCACTTTACATGCAGGACCGTCGCGGCGAATAGCCGATGATATCAACCGCGCTATCCATGGCCAAGTAATGCCAAGTTTTTTTCCCATGGTGGACTGCTTCGACTGCATCGAGAGCCACATGCACTGCTGCAGTCTCGGCATCCCCACTTCGCCATTAACAAGTTCTCTTGACATCTTCCACCCCGACCCGTGCCTTCGATCGGATGCCGGCCCCAACATCTTTGCCCTCCTCCATGAAACGGAACTCTTTCCACTGCCTGAGTCAACCGATTCAGTGGAGCCCGGAGAGGTGCCTTGCAGGCAGAAAGCTGCTTGCTGCTGCTTCTGAACATCTGATCCACACTCTACTTGGAGGTTCATGGGTAGTTATAAGTAGGGTTATAAGTCCCCTAATATGGATAGTTGCCCTACTTATATCCCCACTTAGAACTACCCATGAACCTCCAAGTAGGCCTTCTATGACAATAGTTCGCTGAGTCGGCTCAAGCTATCGGAAGTGTTGAGGAAGCTCAGGGAGGCACTGAATTCTCCACTGGTCTCTCCGTATATCCTGAGCATGTGCTTTGGAATATCGGCTTCCGACGGTCTGCTTCAAGAACCGGAGCCGATGCAAGAGCCCCGTGTGGTGACGCCGAATCATGGCTTTCAGATGATGGGATGTTGGACCCCAGCCTGGATTGCCCGTTCACTGCCGTGCTTGAGGATGACCTCACAAGGCTAAGCATCACACACAGACAAGCAGAGGGCGTTGAGGGCTTTCTCCCAACTCCTCATCTTCATGTCGTGGGACTACGTCGGCCTCCTATGCTAGGTCACAGCGGCCCGGGCAAGGCATTTTTTGTACCTCCTGGACCAGCCCAAGAAACGCAGCCATACAGCCCCAGCGCATCAAAAGAATTTCGCTCAAGCACCTCCAGCAAAGCCATCGTCTTCACGATGCGTCGCCACTCTTTGTCCTTCTTCTCCTGCCAGGGATGCCCTAAGGCATGGGGCACAGCAACTCCTTTCTGGCAGCAAGAGCTTTTCCTCTCTCGACCAGCCCAAAGTCAAGACCTCGGACCCTGAAGGCATGCAGGATGCAAATCCTGCTCTAAAGAGCCGCAAAGCCCAAGTAACTAGCTGTGCACTCAGGTACACCTGAAATCACCTGCAACTACAGTACCTACAACATTCACCATGAGCCTGTCCTGAAGGATCTTCCAGATGAAGCTCATGACCATGTCACAGTCTTCCTCAGCCAGCTGCTTGCAGCAGCGTCGGCGCGGACCAGCAGCGCAAGATTGACACATTCCCAGGTCTCATGCTTGCAGCAAGGCAGAGGCACGGTGCTGCTGAGGGCCACAGCTTTTTGCACTGTGAAGAGTGTGAAGATCCAGCTGCCTACAACCGAGTCTCCTGCCATGTTGTTGGTGGCCGTCGCTATGGCCTGAGCGAGGGCTCAGACAAGCATAGCTCGAAAAGGACTGGCATTGATGCAGGACGTGGCAACATGCAACCTGCCAGTCTTCGTACCTGAAAGGTCATACTGTATATATGTATAT